CCCCAAAACCCCAAAACCCCAAAACCCCTTGGGATTTTTATAAGGTTGAAATTATAAAAATGAAGCCATGCTGGACAATGAGATTTTTAACTGCATCATTTAGAAATATATCTTATATTTCATTGAAAATTCAGACTCTCTGTCAAACCAAAACCTAAAGTGTATATAGAACTTTCTGAGGGCAACCTCGAGCTAAGAAATAGATAACTTTTAACATTGAATTTTACATCTCATCTAAGTTTCTTCAACAAATTCTAAGGATCAAAAAAGTTAAACAGCAGTGATTTACAATCCTATGATATATCTATCGAAGAGATTCAAGAAAGAATGGAAGAGTACAAACTCAACTTTGATATCAGAAATATTATGAGTGACAGTCACTCAGAACACCTAAAGAATTTGGAACTTGCTGAAGCGTACAGGAGTTCCAACAACTCCATAGAGGATGATATTGAACATAAGGAGCTGAGCTGAGAGAAGCTAATATCGAGCATATTACTATTGAGTTAGCTCAAGCTGAAAGCCAAATCGAAAGAATTACCAGTGTCAATGATACTTTTAAGCACACATTCAAAGGCGAGGAGCATAAATTTGAAGACTCTGATAATAACTTTAATGCTGATATTAGTGTTGATACTTCTGAAGGAAGTCTCTCTAGAGATGGCACTGAAGAACTCAAAAGCTCCTATGCAGAATATGACTATATGAACAACCACTTGGTTGAAGTTTCACCAGACTCCCCTATTGAACAAAAGGATAGGATAAACTATACTCAGCTTAACAATCAAATAGCTTTCCCCAATATTGGGGAAGGATCTCAGGTAAGGCAATTTTTAGCATTCCCGATCTAAGTTGTATTATAGCATGAAATTTCTCTTCAAGATGACGACTACACCAGCAACCAAATAGAATCATTAATAAAAAGATTTTCTGAAAGATTAAGAAAGTACAGAGAGTAAGTCTTCTAAAAAAATATCTATTATTACTCAAGGTTTAGGGGTTTTGGGGTTTTGGGGTTTTGGGG